GGCTGCTCTTAGTGGATCACCTGTGTACAAATGCATACTCACCCTCCAGTCCTCAGCCCCGCAGACTGAATGTTCTGGAAGATGGCTGCTCTTAGAGGATCACCTGTGTACATACTGGTTTATCTTTGTAAACAATGCACAAGGTTGCTGTCCTAAGCTTTTCTATTCTTCCTTTCAGTAGCCTGACCCCAAATTCCTCTTTAAAAATAGGGGTAACCTAAGGATATTTCCCTTCATTTTAATTCTTCCACTTTGCCTTCTCCTCTCTGTCAGGCAGATGCATTGAACATCTTTCCAGGTAAGATTCACATTATGATGGATGAGCATGGTGTTTCTTTATCCTTACCCCATGTAGACTTTATCACTCCCTCTTCTCACCTACATGCCTGCTTCAGTAGATGTCAGACCACAACCTGAGCCAATGACAGAGCTGTCTCTCTTGTGATGATGCAGCTTAATCTCTGACTCCAAGACCCATTCTGCATATGTGGTCAGAAACAAACAATTGAAATGCTTTTTAGAGTTTGCTTTTTCTCTTGATGGGTCATGTGCAGAGGGAAGGCTTGATGAATCTGAGGAACAGTCACAATTGCCCACTTGGTCATGGGTCATGCGGGCTTGCTACTGTTTAACACTCCCATAACATAGAGGAGACTTTGCTGAACCCATTGGGGTTCTGTGTTACATAGATGCTTCTTTCTCTCTCTCTCTCTCTGTCTCTCTCTCTGTCTCTCTCTCTGTCTTACTCTCCCTCCCTTCTTCCTTCCCTCCCCACCTCTGTATGTAGGCCTGCCTCCCTTTCTCCCCTCCCCCAATTCTGTGCTTCCACCAATGTCTTTATTTTTCTTCAGGAGATCAATTAACTAAATTCTTCCTCTAGTTTCTTCCAAGGGCTTAAGAATCTAGGCAAAACAAATAACATAGCGCCCAAAAGACTTTTGACTAAGGACAGAGTTGATGGAATGCTTTTAATATCAGAAGGAAAACCACAGAATTCTATCTCAAATAGTATTCCCATCACAGTAAACATAATGGAAGTAAGAAGCGAGAAACAGTCGCTGGCTCTCCCATGCTTCTGAGTCGCTTCACCAATCCTGTGAAGCAGCGTTCTGTGTCCACTGCCTTCCTGCTGCTTTGCTTACCCCCTGACCATGCCATCTGGCATCTGCCTACTTCTGCCCTTCTCTTGAAGAACTCTTCCCTAAGCACAAGTCAAACAGTTTTCATCTCTTCCACCATCCCCCTAACTTCCCTTTTGGTCTTTTCGATCTTCCTCTTTTTCTCCTGCCATTGAACTAGCCTCTGGGAGAATGAATTCAGTTTTTGTCATTTTAAAGGGATTTTGGAGCACACAAGACATGTGGATAAGTAAATAAAGAAAGCTTCATAAGAAACTGTTGCTTCTGGCTTTAATGCTCCCAAAGCCCTGATTCTAGGTGATGTTCATGTTTCCAATTCCTCCTCCCACCTTCAATTCTTTCTTTCCCTCACAGGCTTTTGAATTTCCTATTCACTGAGCTCCTACTCTGACTTGCTCTGGGTTTCTTTTCCCTAAGCTTCCTCCCCTAGAGAAGTCCTACATGTCCATATAGAGGTAAGGGTTAAATGCTGCATGCCTGAGGCCAGTATCCAGAATTATCTACTGAATGACATTTATTATCACCTACTGAGTAGATTGGATTAGACATCCTCTGCTACCCGTTCCTCTGTTAATGACCTTGTATTTTCATTAAGGCTTAAGACCCCCTCCACCATTTCTCCTGACTCAGCCTCCATTTCTTCCTTTCCAGGCTACCTCTCATCCAGCCTCCCCTTCAGGACACCTATCACATTGGCTCTAAGCCCTTACATGACTAAGAACTTTCTTTATGCCTAGAACATAGACATATGTTCTGGTCCCCAACTTCTTAGACTAAAGTTCATGACCCCAATTGGCTCTCATAACTAAATATGGAAGTTTCAAAAAAGAAAAAGAGAAATGGTGACAGTAATAGTTTTATGAATGTACAATAATCAAATTTTAATTCAGAATCAGATGTGCAGGTTGGCACGTTTTCCCCAGCATGTTGCCATGTTGCATAGCACAGCTTCACAGTAGCATTGGTCCTGAACGTGGAGTGTGTCTGCTGAGCATGACATTGCAGCATACACAGTGAATGCTACCTCAAACACCTGGGGTATCTGCCCAGGAGTAGTATACCTGGATCATATGGCAGTTCTATTTTTAGCTTTTCAGGAACCTCCGCACTGATTTCCACAGTGGCTGCACCAGTTTACGTTCACACCAAATAGTGTATAGAGGTTCCCCTTTCTCCATGTACTTGCTAGCATTTGTTTTCTTAATTATAGCTATCCTGGCTAGAGATGAAATCTCAAAGTACTTTTAATTTGCATTTCCCTGATGGCTCAGAATGTTGAATATTAACATATATATGAATATATTTGGCACATATATATGTATGTGTGTGTGTATCTGTGTGTGTAATTTGTGTTTCTTGTTTTGATAACTTTCTGTTCAGTCCCACAGACCATTTTAAAGTCAAATTTCCATTTTCTTGATGTTTTCTTTTTAAAGTTCTTTGTGCAACACCAATCCTCTGTTAGACATGCAGCTGGCAAATATTTTCTCCCTTTTTTGTAGGCTGTCTCCTCAGCTCATTAGCATTTTCCTTTACAGTACAGAAGATTTGGATTTGATGAGGTCCCATTTGTTTTTGTTGGCCTTATTTCCTGAAGGACTGAAGTCATGTTCAGAAAACCCTTACTTGTGTACTTAAAAGTGCACTGCCTTATCTTCTAGTAGTTTCAGGTCTACCACTGAGGTCTTTGATAATTTGGAGTTGATTTTTATGCAGAGTGAAAGATAAAGACCAAGTTTCGTTCATCTACATGTGCATATCCAGTTTCCACATTAATATTAGTTGGAAAAACTGTCTTTTTTCTGATATTGTAATATTGTTCAAAATCATGTGGCTGTGGTTGTCTGGATTTGTATCTGGGTCCTCTGTTCTACTCCATTGATTCTTGTGTCAGTACCATACTGTTTTTATTATATGGCTCTTTTGTTCAGCTTGAAGTTGAGTATGATGAGACTTTCAGCAGTATTCTTATTGTTCAGGATTGTTTTGGCTGTCTGTGGTCTTTTATACCTTTGGCACTTTGATTGGGATTTCATTGGCTCTATAGATTACTGTAGGTAGGATGGTCATTTTCTCAATATTAATCCCATGAATCCATGTGGATGAGAAGCCTTTCCATCATCTAGTGACTTCCTTAATTTTTCTCTTTAGTGGTTTAAAGTTAAAACTATAGAATTAATTCACTTCCTTGGTTAGGTTTATTCCAATGTATCCATTTTTTTCTTGAGGCTATTGTGAGTTGTATTATAACCCTGATCTCTTTTTTATTATATTTGTCATTGGTATAGAAGAAAGTTGTTACTGATTTTTATATGGTAATTTTACCACTTTGCTAAAAGTGTTTCCCAGCTCTAGGAATTTTTTGGTGATTGTTAGGCTGTCTCATGTGTAGAAACATGTCAACTGCAAATAGTGATGCTTTGACTTCTTTTCATATTTGTATCTTCTTCAAGCAATATATTGAATAGGAATGGGATAAGTGGGTGCCCTTTTTTGTTCTTAATCTTAGTGGGAACTCTTTGAGATTTTGTCAATTAGCATGATGGTGGCTATCAATTTGTCACAAAGCTGGGACCCTGGAGCACAGTGGAGCTGCAGGCAGTGCAATAGGTTGGAGAGTGTCCTTTTCAGGTGCCTCAGTTAGTCTAAACTTTTTCCAGGCAGCTCAGCTGGCTTCTGCTTCTTCCAGACAGTTCGTCTGGTCTCAGAGTCTTCTGTGTAGCTTGGCTTGACTGAGAGTCTTCTTTTCAGATCAGCTTTCTTCCATCTGAGGGTAACTCTCAGCTTTTATTGCTTACAGGAAGAGGTCTAGTGAATCTGGTCAGTTTTAGGAACTTCCTGAAGTGATTTTGAGTCATTTAGCTTCCTTCTTAAGAAACTTCCCTGCAGAATAGAATAGTTCAATCTCTGAGGAAACTGTTACACAGTGAGCCACCAGTGTGGCTGTTGCAAACTGAATCTTCTACCAACCCTTCACTTTATTCTTTTATTTAAAAATCTTTGTTACATCCGTTCAATGACAACTTCATGCATACAATACACATACATAATACATACATATATATCATTCTGATTACTGTAGCCCTCACCCTCTCTTATCTCCCTCCACCCTTTTACTTCCCCTTCCTAAAGTTCCTTTCCCATATTCATATCTTTTCTTTGTTTTGTGATGTGAGGCCTGCATGTTATTGTTTTGAGGCAGGGTCTCACAATCAAACCCAGAGCTTGCTGATACTAGTCTCACTAGCCAGCTTGCTTGCTCTGTGGATCCCCTGTCTCCTCTTTCCAAGGCTAGAATTACAGGCAGGCCACCATGCCCACCTGTCATTTACATGGATTCTGAGGATTTGACCTCCTGTCTTCTTGCGAGCAAGGACAGCAAGCTCTGTGCCTGTTGAGTCATCTCCCCGACCCTACCGTTAGTTTTTTGAGGAAATGTCATAGAGTTCCCGTAAAGACTGTACTAAATCTCACTACCACTAGTAGTGACTAAGCACTTCTTTTAGAGTTCCCGTAAAGACGGTACTAAATCCCACTACCACTAGTAGTGACTAAGCACTTCTTTTTCCCTTATTCTCTCCCCAGCACTTGTACCTTTAGTCTATTGATAAGCACCGGCGGCCATTTATGTTTCCTTTTGAGCAGTGTTCTTCGG